ATGGCAGGTGCCTACTGGGTGTGTGCTGAAGGACGCAAAGGTCCCCCACGTCCTGGAAGTTAATGCAGAGCACACACCAACTTGCACAAGTACAGCCGTTCTTGTTCTGTTCCTTGGGCACAGGGACAAGTCTGCACTGGTGCATGGTACATTGTGAGTTGATCTTGACCATTTTCTATTGTCCCTGGAGAAAATGGATGCCCGTGAGTGAGCCCTGAACTTCCTGAGTGCAATGATGGGTGTGTCGGTGGCATTCCTTAAAACACACACGTCTCCTCCCTGAAATGCCACGCTTGGCACGGCTCGTGGAACCCCCAGGGGGCAGTCATGCGGCTTTAACAGTGTCTCAGAGGGGGTGGGACGGACTGCACTGAAACTGCACAGCTCCTTTCAGGGAGGGCAACAAGGGGTGTGTTGTTCTGCCCTCCGAGTCCCTCTGAGCAGCCAGCGTGTCTAAGGGATGCCATTAGCATCCAGGCAGCATGCCATGGCAGGGAAGGGTTTCCTCCAGACTGCTGGCAGCTGGCGGCAGCCTGAAGCCACTGCTGAATGCAGGGCTACTCGGGGCCGGAGACGAGGTTTGCCTGAAAAATCAGCGGCACCAGATCTGCCCCGCTGGCCCCGTGCTCCGGGCACGCAGCTGAACAGGCCGGGTAGAGAGGTGGAGAATTCCAGGAGAGGGCTAACCCCTCTGGGTGTGCCACTCAGAAGAGTGGGTCACTTTTCTCTCTGCCTGAGATAACTTGGTGTTCAGCTGGCTTAATACTTTGACAAGTCCAGTTGGACCTAAGACAAATTTAGCTCTTATCCTAGTAGAGATGATTTCAACAATTTCAGTGTTTCCTAGGAGGTCATTTTAAAGGAAGTCGCGTGCCTTGCTTGTTCCTCGTAAAATCACTGTAAACCTTTGCCTTCTGCTAAGGAGAGGCAGTGTTTGTAACAGGGAGGCGGGGTCATCATTATCTGTTTACGTTGTGCGTTTTTCTCCTTGACACGTCAGCTTGTCCTGGGCTCCACCTCACTATGCTTCAAGCAGCAGGTTTGTCTGCCAGCATACCACAGATTCCACCCACCCTACCTTCCCCCATGACCTTTATTCTTAATAGATTTATTTATTTACATATTGGAAAAGCAGTGTTTACAAAGAGACTGACTTTCAGAAAGACAGGTTAAACTTTCATCCACTGGTTCACTCCGCAAATGGCCGCAGTGGCCAGGACTGAGCCGGTCCAAAGCCAGGAGCTGGGAGAGTCTACCAGGCTCCCACCTTGGTGTGGAGGCCTACAGACTTGCTGCTATTCCGAGCACAGTTAGCGGGGAACTGGATCAGAAGTGGGAAGCAAAGATGCATGCCACCTCACAGGACCCACTTAGCACCATTCCCTATCCCCAAGGTAGACTTGTTAACCCCCTGCTAAGAGTCTCCACATCTTTTATCACAGACTATTTAGGAGCAGGCATGGAACATTCCAGATGTACTTCATTTTCTCAAAAAGTGTAAATTACAGTAGTAATACCTGCTTTGCAATGTTGTAAAGATCAGGTGTTATCAGCCAGTTCCTTAACACCTTACCTGGTGAGTATTTCATGATATTTGTTAGAACAACACTGACCGCTGGCCTCCTAGAGTTAATGGTCTCTAAGAGAAGCAGGCAAGTCGATAAAGGATCAGGTACAGTATGCAGTGGTCACCATCCTTCATGTTAGCAAGTGGTGACTGAGCCCCTATTAGATGCTGGGAAGCGTACTGGAGATAAAGTAGCATGCAGGTGAGGATCCTCCCTCAGGAGGCTTGCTCTTGAACATTTACTGGGTCACGCGGAAGGGTGCTCTGGAGTGCGGGATACAAGTATGGGTTCACCCATCAGAGGCGGCGGCCCGGGAGAGACAAGGCTCGCGTATTCAATCTGAGTGGACGTGATAAGCACGGGCAGCTGAACACGGGGGGCAGCACTTAGTATAGTGGTTAAGATGCTTATGTTTCAAATCCAAGTGCCTGGGTTCAGTTCCAGGCTCCAACTCTAGGTACCTGCTGATGGAGACATTAATAAGCGGTAGTGATGGCTCAGATCGCTGGGTCCTTGCCACTCATGTGTATACTCCCAGGAAGCCTGTATTGAGTTGCCAGCTCCCAGCTTCAGCCTCGCCCGGTCTTGGCCATAACAGCATTTAGGCAGTGAATCAGTGGGTGTGAGCTCTTTTCCCTACGTGCCTCTTTCATCTCTCTGCCTCGGGAAAAAAAATTCCAACACCCGGGGGCCTCACAGTGGCACAGCACGCTGTCTCACCTGCAGCTCCATCATCCCGTATGGGAGCTAGTTCATGTTCCAGCTGCTTCCTTTCCAAGCCAGCTCCCTGCTTGTAGCCTGAGTAGGTACAGAAGATGGCCCAAGTCCTTGGGCCCTTGCGCTCACCTGGGAGACCTTAAAGAAAGAAGCTCCTGGCTCCTGGCTTCCAAACAGCCCAGCTCTAGCCCTTGCAGTTATTTGGAGAGAGGGGTGAACCAGCAGATGAAAGATCTCTCCCCATCAATCTCTGTAACTCTGCCAGAAACAAATAAATCTTTTTTTATGAAGCCAAATTGAAGAACGTGGACTATTTCATTTTCTGAAGTACAAAGCAGGTGAAGGTAATCTATGGGGACAGCAGGTGGCACAGCAGGTGGTTCTTGATTGGAGAGAGACCTGAAACGTGTGTTTCTTGATCCGGCAGCAGGTGTACACGGGTATACATTTGTGCACACTGCCAAAGTTGTCATCACTTCGAACCAGCGTTTGATGATTTTGTGTAAGACATGGAGAGAGCTTTAAACAGCAATATTGAGTGGTCGTCACTGGGCAGGCACGGAGGGAAGTGTGTGTGTGTGTGTGTGTGTGTGTGTGTGTGAGAAGGGCGGGAGGGAAGGCCGTGGAAGGGCATGCACTGTGCAGTGCTCTGAGTCATCAGCTCTGCCTGGCATGGAGGGAGCTGCATCCGGGGCTAAGGATGAAGAGGCAAGCATCCTTTGGTGCAGGTTATGGTGAGAGAAAACCCTTGCACAGCGTGAAGGTCTCCCTATGAAGGTAGGCAGCGGAGTGAAAACTGCTGTTGGCTTCTGCCCCTTGCCGTGGAACCCCCATCAACCCTGGCATCCTGCAGACGGATTTGCAGAGGGTCCTGCAAAGGGGTGGGTGTCTGACATGCGCAGTGGGTTTAATGAATGCTTCTTAAGAGGCTTACAATTGCATGTGTTATTGAATCGCAACTCTCATACTTGATGTTCAGTATAAAACACTTGGAGAAATGGTGCTTATTGATCTGAATATTTTGCTCATTTAATCAAATAATCTATTTCATGTAATTATGGGTTTATGTAATAATGATTCTTTGTGCTGTATTTATTCAACCATGTGAAGAATTTCAGAACATTTTTAAAAAGATCGAAGAGTGTATCTTTCAGTACAGGTGCACTCATGTTTGGTAACTAAGCACTGACAGGCCCAGCACCCGCCTTCTCCAAGGTGTGGGTGCTGGGATGGAAGGACTGGCCGGAAAACTGCCGCACGACAGATTGTTAAAAAAATAAATAAAACCAACTTTATAACTTAACACACCAAATAGCAGGTTATGGTGTACTAAGTATCTTTTTGTAATTATAATTTGTTCATTTACGCTGCTGTTTCTTTTTTTTATACTGACTGGAAAATTCATTGGCAAATCCATGTCAAGCTCCATATTTTTAAATTATTTAAAACAAAGTTAAAAAACATCTGTAAAAGGTCAAAACACATTCAGAATTTTAGGGCAGAACTCATTCTTTTAAAAAATTTGTAACATCATAGTTATGAAAATAGCGATTAAGGCAAGCTATATATATATGTACATATATATATATATTTTATTAATTGCATTGCGTTATGTGACACAGTATTATAGGCACTGAGATTCCCTCCACCCCTCCCCGAACCCTCTCCCTATGGTGTATTTCTCCACCTTGCTGCGTTACCACAGTTCAAATTCAGTTGAGGTTCTTTCATTGGAAGTATTTACCAAGCATAAAGTCCAGCGTCTTATTATCCTAGTGGGATCAACGATTTCTTGGTGAGACCATCTCTGGTCTGAAGACCATCAACACGGACACCAAGGACTACATCCCAACCGCTAAGGAGACCACGGGGAAGAGGAGTGCCTTCAGAGGCTGAGAACTCTGAGGTCACCCACCCCCATCTGGAGCCTCCACAGGGGATGGAAGAAGTCCAAGCTGTATATTTCTAAATGGTGCAAAACATAAAATATCTAAGAATCTGCCGCTTTAAGGGAAAGTTGGGGACGGATATTTATTGACAAATGTTGATCAAAATGGTGCCCACACTCACCTGCACTCCCGCCGTAACACGCGAGCCCACCCAGAGGGGACGGGACACAGACGTGACAGGGGCAGACGTAACAGGGAAGGTAGCAGAAAATGTTAAAATTTATTTAGTTAGTTGAAAACTTACTGAGAGCGAGCGAGCTCTTCCATGCACTGGCTCACTCCCCAGATGGCCAAATGGCTGGAGATGGGCTGGTCTGACACCAAGAGCCTGGAGCTCCTTTCAGATGACCCGGCTAAGCACGTGGATGCAGGAGCTGAAGCTCCTGGACCATCTTCCGCTGCCTTCCCAGGCATGCCAGCAAGGAGCTGCATTAGAAGTGGAGCAGCACAGGGTCCAGGATGTGCCCAGGGAGTGCTAGGTCCCAGTAGGTGGCATTACCCATTACGCCACAATATCACCCCTTTATCATGTGTTATACAGTCATTAGAGACGTTGCATTTAACCAGAAGCTGGATTCATTCAGAATATTTTGATGGCACTTTTCCTATTTATGTGTTTATTACCTAGATTGTCATTTTGACGTAACTCATCCTTCAGAAGGGCAGCCTTAAACACCTCTGAAACTCTCGCCATAGTTTTCTGGGTATAACTTTGGCCTTCTGGAAGGTGCTCCTTGATTCTCAGCTGTCTCTGTCCTCTGTTTAGGAGCGAGCGAGCCCGCTGGATAACAGCCCTGGGACACAGCAGTGGGAAGCAGCCTGCTGACCGCACCTGTAAGTCCAGCCCGCTCTATCTAGAACACAGAGCCGCCCTGCCCCCTGCTGGATGCTGGGTTATTAACCAATTATACCGCCAGTTCCCTCAAGTCTGGCCCCTGCTCTGCAAATCAGGGGGTCTCCATTCAAATGCAAGGTGCAGTTTTAAGCATGCTGAATCAGCCCTGAGATTCCCTGATGTAAGTCAAGTACATCAATATACATGACACAGGTTATTGTGAAGATTCAGTTCAATAATACTTGTTGAAAACCTTGCTAAAACTTTGAGCTGTTTCAGTGGGTAACAGTTACAGATTTAAGTCTGGATCTAAACCAGTCAATTTGACCTAAATAAAATTAATTAACTATCCCTGTTGGTCTCTTTAAGCAATAAGATTAAGAAAATATATTGCATCCTTCAAGAGAACTAGGTACTAAGCAAGAGATGCTGATGCTGTGTTCTGGTGTACTGTGCTCTAGTAGCTAGCTCTTTTTGATAATTCTAGTTAAGAAGGCTGAGTCCAAGGAATTAGGGGCAGGAAAATGTGTTGTCCTGGAACACTCAGAAATCATGATGGTAACATGAACAGCAGATCCAGCATGTTTTGAAAGTTAGCTAAAATTAAGTTGTGTATGTTATGTTTACATTTTTAAAAAATGATCCAACTAAGCAGTCATGTCAGCGAGACCCTGAAGTTAGTCATTTTCTGTTGGGTGTCACCATTTTGGAGAGCTCTTAAATGTTCTCTAAACACTGTCTTCAAGTCCCACCTCTTATAAGATTTATTTATCTTTAGCTCTTCCATCCATTTGTTCACTCCCCAAGTGGCTACCGCAGCTGGCACTAAGCCTGTCTGTAGCCAGGAGCCAGGCGCTTCTTCCGAGTGCCCTGTGTAGGTGTAGGGTCCCAAGGCTTTGGCCCATCCATTGCTTTCCCAGGCCACACAAAGGGGGCTGGATGGGAAGTGGAGCTGCCAGGTCACAAACTGGCACCCATACGGGATGCTGGTATATTTGCAGGCGAAGGATTAGCCAATTGCGCTATCATGCCAGCCCGCGGAGCTCCTTTTGTAAGAAGTTCATGTGAAATAAAATTGAAAGATTTTGGTATAAGTTGAAATCCTGACGCTGAGAGCTTCTGCCTTTGGTCGTCTTGTGTGCTGTGCTTCTGGCCAGCTGTGGGAAGCACCTGAGACCAGCCAGAGAGCAGGAGGCAGTGCTGTGGTGTCATCAGATGGCTAGTTTTGCTGCATCACCCACTGCTCTGGCCTCGGTTTCCCCAGTGCTCAGAGGTGGTTTTCTGCTGCATTGCAACGTGGCCAGTCGACATTGGCACCAAGGGGGTCCAAGTGTCATCACAAACCTCCTGAATCTGAGCTTTTAGAGATCTTAGCCAAGTCGACCAATTCCTGAGAAAGCCTGCTTGATTCTTGAGAGGAATCCCAGTGGCTGCTGTGCACGCAGGCCCTCGGGCACAGGAATGTCGAGTGTGCTCAGCGTGCCCTCTTCTCCCCACAGCCCTGACCCAGGTTGAAATCATCAGGTCCTTTACTGCCAAGCAGCCGGACGAGCTCTCACTGCAGGTGGCAGACGTGGTCCTCATTTACCAGCGTGTCAGCGATGGTGAGTGGAGTGGCTCCTGGCCCTCGGCGTGCTGTGGCCTGCGCAGCCACACTCGGACACGAATGCCGCGTCCACGTCTGAGATTGCATGTGCTGCCTTCTGTCTCCAAGGTCAATTTTGTGTCTTCTCTGTTCTTATCCCTTTTCCTCCTCCAAGATGCCACTTGCTGTGCTGGGCTTCTCAGAGAGATCCCAGGCACTTGGACGCATTTGAAACTGCTGTCCCGACAGCCTCCTGGCATGCCTTTTTGTCACTCACTTGCACTTGAGTTTGTCTCTGTGTTTCTGTTTCGAATAAGAATGCAGCTGTAGGATTTGCTGCTGAGAGAGAACCATGAGTGTTTTCCTGCCTTCCCAGTCGCCTAGTAACCTACTGTCAGCTCCAAAGATTCTTCCTTTCTTTCAAAACCAGATCGTCTTTCCTCTGCCCTCACCTTCAGCAGCCCTATCACAGCTTGGTCCAAGCTCAGACACCCGCTCAGCCTTCTCTCCTCAGGGTCTCTGCTCATTTATTCCCCCGGGGTCTCTGTCCTCTGTCCCAGCTCTGACTTCTCACCCGCCATTTTCCACGGCACCCACACTGGCGAGGGTGGCTCTTGGATGCTTCTCGGAGCCTGGCCCCGGTAAGGACTGCCGAATGTCCCTGTGCTCCATGTGGACCCTGTTCTGCCTTGCAGGCTGGTACGAGGGGGAGCGACTTCGAGATGGAGAAAGAGGCTGGTTTCCGATGGAGTGTGCCAAGGAGATCACGTGCCAGGCTACCATTGACAAGAACGTGGAGAGAATGGGCCGCCTGCTGGGCCTGGAGACCAACGTGTAGCCTCTCACTGCCATGACCTCTTGTTTCTGCGAGATTTGCACGACATGTTGATGGGCTGTGTTGGTGTCATTGTTCATTTCATCACAATCTATTTAATGAAAAGGATGGAAACACTTGCCTTTAAGCTTGCCAGGTTGTTCTGCTCTCTTGGAAAAAACATACCGGATGCAGCCAATCATATAGCTCAGTTCTTACATAACCACCCCTTGCGAGCTGCTTAGTCACGTCAGGGAACAGGCTGTCTCAGCACCTGTCAGTGTCATCGTGTCCTGGCACAGAACTGTGCCCCGGGTGCTGTGCCCTGATCTGCGTCCTCCCATCACTGAAACGGCCCTGTCTACGCAGCTCCTCTATGTGATTCTCCCAGTATTAGCAACATGTTCTGTCTTTAAGGAATTTTCTACTTTGTAAATATTTCTCCTGGCTCTTAGTTTTTACATGTTAATTTCAAGAGGAGCTGGTAGCATTCAAAAGATGAACTGTCATCTTGTTCTAAACTTCTTCCCAGGAAAGGGAAATTGACACTTGAATTGCCGCCTTTTCCTCATGAAAAGGAAAGGTGGGAGCCTCACTTCAGCATTTTGCTAAGAATTCCATTTCACTCAATATTGGTATTAGATAAGCATAGCTTTTTAAACCTAAGCTACTTTACATCATATGGAATATAGATGGTTCCCATGTGTGAAGAGATCCCGAGTATAGGATAAGAATCTGCTTGTTAAAAATGTCCTCAAATAAGTAGGTAAGAAAAACACTGACTTGAGGCTGCTTTGCCTTGGAGAACACTTGGTTTTCCAGCTCCAGCTTCCAAACAGGGAGTTGGCTGGGACGCTCAGTAACAGCTGAAAAAGGGAAAATGGTGTCAGAAAGCCATCGCGGTAGCTACTTCGTGAGAGTCTGGTCTGTTTGCACTGATGTCCCTGCTTGCTGGACTCAAGGTCTCCTCTCACGGTGAGCTTCTACAGAAGATTTCTTTTTTCCCTCTGCTAGTGCAAGGAGAGAGAAGTCATGAGAGCGTAGACGATGGAGAGGGGGTAACTGACCTTCCTGGCAGCTAGCACGTGGACGCAATCGGAGCGCTCAGATCTCTGTGACGTGTCCCAGCCTCTGGGTGACAGCCATGTAGCATGAGTAGTGACAGAAGCCCGGTGTCGGGGCACCAGGATCTTGTCACCTTTGAAACGCTGGCTTTTACCCGTGCACAATTGTGGCTGTAGAAGACATTCCAGGCCCCAAGTTTCTTGTGGTCGGAAGAAGTTATGTCAGTGACCTCGTAGTCCTAAACCAGTAACAAGAGACAGCTTGAGACTGACAGCACAAGGCTGCCTCCTCTTCAGTGACGTCACCAACTTTCTAGAGGATGGGCTGCAAGTTGTAAAGTTGTAATTTAATGTCTTTTTTTTTTTTTTTTAAGAAAGAAGCTGAATTCGTTGCTTGCAGGGGGATCATTTTGTATCGTTTTTGCTAATACGCAGCTGAAGCTAAAAAGCAACCGTATGAATCCTGTGAATTAACTTATAAGTAGAAATGTTAAGCGATTTAGAAAGATACGCATCTTATAAAATCAAAGCCTTATTTAGCAAGTAGCTTACACGTTCTTAAAGCGCTGTAATACAGCTGGGATTTAACACATGCACAGTGTTTCAACTGAGAATGGTTTTTAACAGGATACAGTGTTTTTTTCAAACCTAGTCCAGTCTCTTTGAATACCTATTCTGAACTGTACAGGGACCTTGCTTGGGAAGAAAACGATGTTCATTTTTGTCCCAATAAATTGTACACTTTTGGAAATATATGTGAATTTATAAAGATTTTGTATATATTTGTCCTGCTGTGCTGGTGTGTTTATTTACTGTAGACTTTCAGGTAAGTACACACTTGATTTACCTCTATGGCCAATCGGACTTGTGTTCCAAAGGCGTTTGTGCCTAATATCGAGGGGAATGATGCTTCCCCTTTGGTTACAGGTGGCTGTCGCCTGGCCTAGACTAGTCTGTTTTAAGAGATGGGCTGTGCTGTTTCTTAACTCCAGTAGCCATGAACCTGCAAACTGGCTCCTCTTCACTAATTTGGCCACCCAGGATCTGCTTGTAAAATTTCACCTCTCGATGGAAGGCGAAGAATGATGTCTATATTAGTTTTCCTTGCTGCATGACACATTACTCCAAGCTTCATGGCTTACCACTCACTGTTGTGTCGCAGTTCCACAGTGAGAGGCACAGGATAGAATGCGTGTATTTGCAGCCTTGCATCTCACAGGGCTGAACCGGAAGTGTCGGCAAGGTCCTCTCCCATCTGAAGCCTGGTGTCTTCGTTCCTGGTACTGGGAGGACTCTCTTGCTTGGCGGCCGTCCCTGTGGCCTTCTGAGGTTCCTCTGCTTGCTGGTCAGCCAGGCTGCTCACAGCTTCCAGGGAGCATTGTATTCCTTGCGGTGAGACTGCTTCGTCTTCAAGACAGCAGTGGCGCCTCCTCACACGAGGAATCTCCATGTCTCGCTCAGGCACTGAGGGCAAGAGCTGGGGTTGCATTAGAGAAGGTGAGCCTGCACTTGGGACACGTGCACCCTCGATCAGAATGTCCTGGTTGCAGTCCTCACTGCTTCGGCTCAGCAAGCTGCTAATGCGCATGCTGGGAGGCAGCAGCTGAGGACCCAGGTGCGTCGGTTCCAGCCAGCCACATGGGAGATGACTGAGTCCCAGGCTTAGCTTCACCTCGGCCCAGCCTCGAGCTGTTGCAGACATTTAAGGAATGAACCAGCAAGGCGGAAGAGGCCTCAGCATATTTATAGCTGAGCAGAAGTAAAAACATCTCTGGAAGGTATTGGCAGCATCAGTGACTTACAAAGGCAAATTACCAAGGTCCATCAAACACTTGAAATAGAGATTTTGATACTCCCCTCCCCCCCAAAAAAAGAAAAAAAGCCACACACACCCACAAGATGCTAGATACTAAAATTGGCAGATAAAGATGGTAAAATAATTATAATTGTTTTGCTCATGGAGATAAAGACCGACTTTTATGTGTAATACATAACAACTATAAAAAGTGACAATGAAGACAAAGGAAATCTCAACCAGAAATGAAACCCAGGTCCAGTAGGGTGGTGGTGTAACAAGCGCATCTGCCTGCACCACCGGCGTCCCATATGGGCACTGGTTCGAGTCCCAGCTGCTCCAGTTCTGATCCAGCTCTGTGTTTATGACTTGAGAAGACAGCAGAAGATGGTCCAAGTCCTTGGGCCCCTGCACCCATGTCAGACACCTCCGGGATGCAACTCCTGGATGCCAGCTGCTGATTAGTCAGCCATTGCGGACATTGGGGAATGAACCAGTGGGTGGAAAATTCTTTCTCTGTTCTCTAAAATCATCAAGTAAAATAAATCCCTTTAAGAAAAATACAACACTATTTAACACTGAACGAGGTAGCGGTAGGAGAGTTTGGGATCGTCAACAGGCTAGCAGCCGTGGTGGAAAGCAGGACTCACAGGGTCTCAAGGGAGAGGACAGGGAAGCAACACCAGGAAAGCAGCAGTTTCTTTATAACCCGACTCTGAGCGCTCACAGGACTTTCTCCGAAAGGGGGTGGCGGTGGGCTGAGGCAGCCCCCTTGAGCGGAGGACAGTTCCTGTGGAAGCTGCTGGGCGAAGCTTGTCATCTAGTGGCACATCAAAGAGTGTGCAGAAAACGGCATTCACTCCGCAGAGCGATATTACTGTTTGATGAGATTTGGTGTCTAAAATGAAAGCTATGACCAAAACCCCACAGGCTGCCCACCTGTTTGGATAAAGGTTTTATTTAGTCAAGTTGTGATAATTCTAAATACATTCTAACTCTTCTTTTGGAAAAAAAAATGTTTTTATTGCAAAGTCAGATTTACAGAGAGAATGACAAAGAAAAAGGTCTTCTGTCTGCTGGTTCTCTTCCCAAATGGACACAACCTTTGGAGCTGAGCCTATCCGACCGAAGCCAGGAGCCAGGAGCCGCTTCTGGGTCTCCCACATGGGTGCAGGGTCTTAAGGCATTGGGCCATCTTCTACTGCTTTCCCAGGCCACAGAGCTGGATGGGAAGTGGAGCAGCTGCCCATTTTCAGTGCCCATATGAAATGCTGGCACTTGCAAGGGAAGATTTGCCTCTTGAGCCAGTGTGCCTGGCTCTCAAATTCTCCTAATAACGTGGCCTCAAAATAAGTGCAGCAAAGTTGGTAGAAACTCAAGAAATAAATCCAAAATCATAGCATGAAACCTATTTGTGTCTTTTCTAGAAAAAGGAATCAACACATATATAGCATATTTTGATAACTAGTACTTTTATGTAATGGACATTTGTAGGACAGCAACAAGTTCAACATATGTGTTCTTCTCAAGCACATTAAAAACAGTTGGGCCCGGTGCCATAGCCTAGTGACTAAATCCTCACCTTGTATGTGCCAGCATTCCATATGGGTGCTGGTTTGTTACCTGGCTGCTCCACTTCCCATCCAGCTCCCTGCTTGTGGCCTGGAAAAGCAGTGGAGGATGGCCCAAAGCTGTGGGACCCTGCACCCACATAGTAGACCCAGAAGAAGCTCCTGGTTCCTGGCTTCAGATTGACTCAGTTCTGGCTGTTGTGGTTACCTGGGGAGTGAAACAGCAGATAGAAGATCTTTCTCTCTGTCTCTCCCTGCCTCTGTAAATCTGACTTTCCAACTTAAAAAAAAAAAAAAAAAATGACAGTTGATTTTCCTGGGTCACAATTCATGTTTCAACATATCTTATAAGGCTGGAGTAAGGGTGACTTCTTTGATTAGACTGTAAACAGACTAAAACTCAAATTTAAGAAACACATTTATCTTGGTACTCGAGCCTACAAATAAAATGCAAGAGTACAGTCCCTAGAAGATTGCACAGGATAATATCTAGGTGACCCCGAGATTGGGCATGATTTTCTAGACACTAAAGCACAATTCAAGAAAAAAGCAACTGATAAAGCTGGGCCACAGACTCTGTGTTACATTGGCCATAATGCCACACAACAGAACATTTCTGCTTGTGTTCATATAGCTACGAAGCATTCCCGGACACAGAACGCAAGCCAA